GAGAGAGAGAGAGAGAGAGAGAGAGAGAGAGAGAGAGAGAGAGAGAGAGAGAGAGAATGAAGGTAGCTGTCAGAAATAGGTAGTGTGTATCAGCCTTACCTAGGGAGTCAGGAGGTAGAGGTAGAGAACGGGTGATGGAGCGCATTGTGGGAGAGAGAATGGGCTTGTGGAAGAGAGCCATAGCTCGCCATGTGTAAGCGAAAGGACTGAAGTTGTTCATAATTTGAATCTTCCAGCACACAGTAGTTGACTGCAAATGACCTCGTTCTTCAAAATCGGCGCAGACACATTTTCTAGGGTCGTAGGTTTTTTGATCCAGAGTCAAGATTCAGTGGTCAAAGTGTGCATCTCTAGCTATATATAGAAGGGCGTCAGAAGAGTCCTTAGTCCTTAGGTCGATAGGTGATAGGTACTCAGCCAAGTGTCGAAAGAGGCACCCTGGACCCCCTGAAGCAAGTAATTGACTTTTTGGAAAGTCAAGAGTCAGGCCCAACTGTCCTCTGGGACATCCGTTAAAATTGGAACTGTTAAAAAAAAAAAAAAAAAAAAAAAAAAAAAAAATCCTGGAACTGTACAGAGAAGTGAAGATTCGCATGACCCCTGCGAGCTTCCATGGCATCTTGACAACTACGTCCTGGCCTAAATCCATAAGAGTGAGGTTCAAAACGGGCTTCCCATTCGGGTTCTAGAACCATTTTAGCTAATGCCTGTTTAGCTCGATCCGAAAAAGGAAGTGGTTCCATCCCGTCCAAGTTTGGCCATCGAACTTCAGTGTTCGAACTAATTCCATTTTTCCTCTCGTCGCAAGGATGATACACATGAATCGAGAAATGGTCCAATTTTTTTTTAAAGAAAAAAGGAAAAAAAAAGAATATTCAGGCCCGACTCGCGGACAATAGTCAAAGTGTCAGAGAGAGATTTCATAGGAGTCGATCATGACCAGATATCTCACACACATCCCAAGGCTGAGTGGAGTGCTCCAGAAGCTCTCGAGGCCTGCTGGGTACCGACACACTTTGGGTGGCAACAAATCTGGGCCATCCAAGATCAAGTCCTTGTGTACTTTCCTTATTTATTCTAGCCAAAGCCGGGAAAAGGCGGCCCCAAAGAAACTACAAGAATGAATACAGCACACAAGGGGGGATATATTCAAATGGTTTCGCAAGGAATGCATATGAGATGCTGGACCCGGATTCCAGCAGGTGCTGCTCCCCGCCGCTAATAGACCGGAGCGATCTGTGGCAGGTGCTTCTAGAGGAGGCGGACGCTCATATCACCCCCTCTAGCACACTGGCATGCGGTTTTGTCCAAAAAAGAAAAAAAGAAAAGGAATTCTCAGCCACACAAGGAGGCAAGAGGGAGGCAGCCAGAGCTGAGTCAACAAGATAGAAGACTGACCTGCCCTACCGTCTTCACCCGAATATAATGCCCGGTCATTATAACTGTATCTGGCACAACTTTCAGCCCAGATACGACGATAATTATGGGGCGTTCTATTCAGGTAAAGACGGTAGTTGGCTCATTCATTCTTGCCTCAGCCCCCTTCTTTTTTCTTCGCGACTCTCCTCTTGCAACAAACCTTCAATGCGAATTTGCGAACACCGATGTTCTGAGCTGCAAAAGCCTCAAAGCAGGACAAATGTCAAGTGGAGTTGAAAGTAAGATCACAAAGCTGAAATCACGCCAACTGAGAACATACATGCGCTGACGTCTGTCGATAAAGAAAGCCCAACTTATCGCCTCGGCTCATCAATACAACCACAATGTAGCCGCTCTAGTATGATGTCACAACCTACACTACTCTCTCTCTCTCTCTCTCTCTCTCTCTCTCTCTCTCTCTCTCTCTCTCTCTCTCTCTCTCTCTCTCCACATCCTACTTCTCTCCCTTACACTGTTTTCTCTCTCTGTCCAGTGCCCTCTCTCCTAGCAATGTTTGTTTGTCACCCAGACTCAATGCCAACCCACTTCCAACCCCAGTGCAGGTAAGGCCCTCTCTCTCTCTCTCTCTCCACATCCTACTTCTCTCCCTTACACTGTTTTCTCTCTCTGTCCAGTGCCCTCTCTCCTAGCAATGTTTGTTTGTCACCCAGACTCAATGCCAACCCACTTCCAACCCCAGTGCAGGTAAGGCCGCTGCTGGGTAGAGCAGCTACTGCTGCTGCTGCCTGCTTCTCACTTTCTCTTCCTCAATGAGCGCTGGACTGGCCGCTGGCACTTGTGCAAAGCGAGCACTGAAAGCCAGTACCTCCGGATGTGTAGAATGCTGTGGCCTCCTCCCTTTTGTTCCTTCCTGGAGACCCTGTCTGAGTTTCTGACGACCGATTGGGCTTGAGCCTGGATTGCTAGACGCCGCAACTGACACGGAGGCCGGGCCTACTGGGTAGTTGGAGAGGCGGTGGTCCCGCCCCCAAATCCAATTGGATCATACCAGCTTTCACTCAGGGCTGGTGGATTTTTCTTTCTGCCATGGCCTTCACTTAGGGCCGGACATTTATTTTGTGGGTGGGCCCCTGCGAAGGGTTGTCGAAGCTTGAAGTCGCTTTCCAGCGCCCTTAGGTTCAAAGCCCTTGGCAGAACCCTTAACACCACCAGCACCTACCACATTTTTGTAACCCCCCGGCTCGAATGAATATGAACCCAAGGGGCAGACCGATTCGGCTACCGCGTTAATGGATGCGCCAACCGTTAGGTACTGATGGTTTAATCTTACCTTTGCTTCCCTTTTATAGCCCTCTCATAACGAAAAAAAGGGCTTTGAAGTTTGAACCACTTCTACTTTTTTTTTTCTTTTTTTTTTTTTTGAGATGCAGACTTGGTTAGTTATTCTCTGGTATATCTAGATGAGCCTTGAAAGCCACTCTGAAATGCATCTGCGGATTGAGTGCTCTTCCATTACCCGTGACTTTTGCACAGGCATGGCGCATACGGAGGGGAACACTCTTCCATTACCTGTGACTTCCTTGCGCAGGGATGATTAGCATTCCCTCCGTCTTTTTTTGTTGTTTTTTTTTGTTTGTAATTTGGACCGTTTCTCGGTTTATGCGTGTCGTCCTTGCGCAGGGACGATGCTAATCTTCATTCGCTGTCTCATTCAATTTTTTAACGGATGTCCCAAAGGAGTCACGGGCATGCTTTCTAGCTTCACCCCTGGCCAACTTTCTTGCCGCACGGGCCTTGTGCATGCGTGCTGGGTCTTCACTCGCTCACTTGTTGATGAAAGTAACGTGGGACCTGGGACTTGGGACCTGGGACTGTCCCTCACCCATTGCCGCACAGCACTGAGCACGCACGAAGTGCACATGAGATAGGCATCCAAAGATAGGCTCTGCAAGGTCAACTCGTACGTACAATGGCCGCCGGCAACAGCACACAGGTATGGTCTCTCCCTCGTGTACCCTACTCTCGGGCTCAAGTCCTCTTTGAATACCACCTCCGGCCCCCTCCCGCTCTCCCCCAGACTATATAGCTATGGGCGCCTAGCGCCGTCGACATGCAGGAGCACACAATAGTGCAGCAGTGATGTCTTC